TGATTTTAGGAAGTGTGACAAGTGCGAAATATTTTGTAAGAGCGAGTGTCTATCTGGATCCAACACTTGTTTTTGGTATCATTAGCCTGCACATATAACTTTCTACTATTGTTGTTGGAAAAATTTATATCGTTCGGCGACAACCCTGATAATATTAGGCTTGAAATGAGATTCCATGAATTCCTCAAATTTATGCATTTTCTTCTTTTCAAGAAATAATTTCATCCACAACACTAACCCTGAGAAATTGTGTTGAAGGACTGGCCTCAGCGAATCTGCAACGAAGACAAAGCATAAAGCGGCAAACCCAGCAGAAGAATCACATGGCTTCGTCGTGTGTATAGGGAAGAATGGAAGATTTCAGAGGTCTTTATATGTTGTGACCCTATCGTTGCTTTCACACTAGTAGACGAACATGAAGAGCGAGAGTTTCATAAGTCTGTACGCAATGATTCCTTGCCTTCACAACTACCCCTAATTGCGACTGTATGAGAAGCAAGCAAGGAAAAGAGTGGAGAATGGGCTTCGATCTTGAGTTGGAGTGGAAGGAAAGAAAGACGAGAGTTTCTAAGATCTTTGTATGCAACGATCCTATCATTTCTCTTCCCACTGGCTTTAATCGTAACTATATAGCGATGGATAGGCGCATAAGAGCAATAATGGACTTTTGAAGATCAAAATATATGCAGCAATCCCGTTGTTGCTTTCCCACTACTTCTGGTCATGCTTGTAGCGCGAAGGCAAGTGAGGGCTTCGGCAAGGCTACGAGCAAGAGAGAAAGACGAGAGTTTTGAAGTTCTATGTATGTCGTGATTCCGATGTTGCTTTCCCAATTAGCTTTAGTAGTGACTGTATGGCGATCAGGGCAAAAAACAAAGATGGAGAGGCTTTGGCTAGGATCCCGCAAACACAGGGAAAGATCAGGTAAGAGTTTGTGGTTGGGTGGCTCGAGTGGGCTCAGGCATGGATTTTGAAGACGACTTGATTTCCATATATGATTCCCTACGACAGAGGAGAAAAAGTAGAGAAGGAGGCTTCATGTGGCCTTTATGTGTACTCGAGTGGGCTCAAGCGGGCTCAAGCATGGATTTTGAAGACGACTTGATTTCCATGTATGATTCCCTACGACAGAGGAGAAGAAGTAGAGAAGGAGGCTTCATGTGGCCTTTATGTGTGACAGAAAGAGGCGACGGGTTGCGATTACTAGCGCCAAGCAATCAGAAGAATGGACAAGGAGAAGTGTTCGGTTTCTTTGGATGATCATGCGAGATAGAGGGAGACAAGGGCCTTAATTCTAATAGGTAGGGGTGGCCTCATCCCTTTTGTGCAATATCAATAAAAAGCGGGACACAAGGACGAGTTCAATTACAGAAAAGGATTTGTGTGATTATGTGGGGCCTCGTCTCTGTTGTGCAAAATCAAGAAAATGGCGGAAAACAATGATGGGTTCAATTACATGAAAAGGTTTGTGTGACTAAGTGAGATTAATTACATATTTTAAATTTATTTTTTTTAATTTTTTTGTATTTTAATGGCCAATAAAAAATATAACTACATCACAGTAACTAGCCCTAACATTGCTTATTCAGTTAGCACTATAAATCAGCTCATGCCTTCCCCCACAATCCATCATCGATCAACTTTGGAAAATATACTATGTTACATCAAAGGATCACTTGACAAAGTATTCAATATCAGAATCATAGGCATAAAAATATTGAATATTTCTCTGATGCATATTGGGCATACAATATCGGATATTATGTTTTTATTTGTGGTAATTTGGTCTCGTATAGAAGTAAGAAACAAAATGTAGTGTCACGATCCAGTACACAATTTGAGTATCGAGCAATAGCACAAGCTTCAAATGAATTGATATAAGTCTCTCAATTGTTGGCCAAAATGAGTTTTAAGATGACGGCTTCAACAATGTTGTGATGTGATGACCAATATGCAATTCATATTGCTTCAAACCATGCCTTACATGAATGAACTAGGCACGTTGAGATAGGTTGTCATTTTGTTCGCAAAAAGATTCTATAAAATTTGATTTTTATAGCTTGTGTAAAGACTAAGGAGCAAATATGGGACATCTTCATAAAAGTCCTTAATGAAGATAGTGTCACTTGTATTTGTATCAATTTAGACATAATAAATATCTATGTTCCAGTTTGAGAGGGAATGTTATGAAAAGTAATAGATATGAAGCTTCTATATTAGGAAGCTTGATAATAGGAAATCTAATAAATTGGTAACCTAATTAGAGGATATCTAATTGCAAGATCTTTCCTCTATTAGAAATATTTATAATCTATAGAGATTTGAGCGTCTATAAATATGTAACATTGTTTTCAATGGGGGAAAAAGAGAACAAGGAAGTTTTTCTTTCACAAAAACCAATCGTGGAGAAAAAATTCTCAGTAATCTCTTTCAACAAACAAGAAACACTAGTGTTCAAGCTCAAGCAAGGAAAAAAAAACATAGGGGTAGGAAGGAGTCAATAAGAAGCGTGCCTCCTAGCACATCTCCTTTACTTGCTTCTTCTACACATGGTATTTTGCTTGTTTATGAGGGCAGCCTTTAATCATCTGCTGAAACGACTAAAAAGAGATAATGCAAAAAAAGCTAGTAGGGTCATATAAGGGTCCGTTTGGGGCAGCTTGTGCGTTTCAGGATAAGGTTATGTTGAAGCACGGCCCGCGGGCCGTCAGCAGGGGTCGACCCGCGGCCTGCGTTTAATATAAAAATCCAAACACAGTTTCGGATAAACTGGCGAAACGCGTGAACCAAACGGTACGGCAGCGTTTTGAAAACGTCGCCCACACTTATAGCTGCCCCAAACGGACCCTAAGTCAATAAAGGTGAGGTCTCTGAAGATAAGAACCAAGATATTGATGATTTTAGGCAGCGTCCAGATGTAACGAGGCCAATAAAACAGAAGGACAGAAGATATGGAAGAAAAAGAAGAAAATGAGCAAAGCCTCCATAAAATTGCAAACCTTACTCAAACTGAAAATAAAGAGAGTCATATTGCCCTCCTAAAGTAGAAGATTGCAGATATTATGAAAACAATGATTGTGATGGCTACAAAAGTGGCTAAACTTTCAAAGGGCCATGAGGAAATTTAAGGCAGCATCAAAAACCTGTCATTTGTGTAGCAGCACCACAACAAATCCATATTCACCCCTACGATTCACCCAACAATCATGTTGAGGTGTCGGCTGCCAATATAGCTCAACATAAAGGTTTTCAAAATCAGCAAGCAAGCCATTGTCCTGAAGGAACAGCACCTAGGGTTGTTACATATGATCAATTAAAAACTCAAGTCGACTAAACAATCAAAGCAGCAATCACTTCTTAGCAAGCTCAAAAAGAATTATCATACTCTGAGGAGCATATAAAAGGTTCTATCATCCCTCAATTCAAGGTTTTTAATGGACTAAACAGTCCATAGCAACATGATGCCCTTCACGCAACAAGTCAAAATTCAAGTGGGAGAAATACCATTCTACTGTTACAGTTCATTAATAGCCTATCATGAGTCCTTCGTGGAAAATAAATATAGTAGGCATGAAAGTGAATATCTTTGCAATCGGACGTAATTGTCAATGGTTGGTACAGAATTGCAGATTATTCTTTATAAACTTGGTTGTACGCTAAGCACTGTTAAACTATTCTCATATTTAAAAATTTCACCTTTTATATATTATATAATTGCTATTGTATATATTTATTTATATTCATATCCATTATGGTACTCATCTTCATGCTATTTGTCATGTCGTTTATATTTTATTCAGTAGAGTTTCACCAACTCAATATGTTTCTTGCAAACACACACCTGTTGATTTATCATTTTCATATTACTAGTTGTGCATCACTATAAAAGAATTTAAAGGCCCATACTTCAAAAAGTTTTTAAGGTTAAATTTGTTTAATTGCTTCATTAGCTTGGTCATTGTGACTGAGAATTTACCTCGGAGATTGTTAATCGCTCGAAAATAGATTCAAATTTTGGCTCGAATCTAGATCGGGTCAATATAAACAAGCCGATGTATGAGCCAAACCTTTGGATTTAATTTATTCCGAGCCGATTTCAAGCCATACATGGATTGGCCTGAATCCATACATGGATCAACTTGATTTGACTCGAAATCAGACTGTAGTATTTTTTATTTATAAGAAATTATATATATGATGCTAAGTAAAATTAAATATAATACGTCGCGAGCCAATTTCAAGCTATAATAGATCTAAATAACTCAATTTGAGCATGTTAGTTTTAATTTTGAGCAGAATCAAGCCAATTCAAAGCTTAAACGTATCAAAATAACTCAATTTAAGCCAGCTCGTTTCGATTTTGAGCCAGATCGAGCTCGATTCAATTTCGAGCCGGCTTGGTTCAAAATTGAATATAACAAGCCACGGGCCGACCCCAACTCAGCTCAAAGTAGGCTGAAAATCGGATCAATTTATTTATAGTATAGGAAATCTTGGGATATGTTATTTCGTTTAGTGCTCTCATGGTCTTATTGGTGGACAAAAATATTATTGAATTCATGTTTATGCTTATTGAAATAATTTTTTAATTTTTCACCCGCAACCTCCTACTGGTTTTCTGTGATCTCCTCCATAGCCTGGAAGACCAGGTGTGACAAAAAAAAAAGGTCGGATTAACAAAAATTAAAAGCTAAGACCAAGAGGAAGGCACTCTTCTAGATTGAGCAAAGGAGAGTCAAGAGGGAAATACTATAGCAATAAGAAATGTTGCCATCTGCATGAGCAAGTGGTAGTTGCCATTAATGCAATCATCTATTCTATAATCTATGGATAATTGGCAATAAATCCATCTGCATGGCGACTCAAATGGCAGTCGGGTGTGCAGTTAAATATGTCACGTAGATATATAAAAAGCAGTCGGGTGTGCAATTAAAAATATGTCACATGGATACATAAAAACATAAAAGCCAAAATTAGTAAAGCTGGCGTTGCATACTCACGGTGAGCAACCTCCGAGTCGCCGCCGCATCCATCACAAACCTTACGAATTCAGACTTGCGTGCGGAACCGGCGTCCTCGAACCGCAACACGGAAGACCTTATTCCGTTCAGCGAGTAACCGATCAAGTCCTTCCCACGAGCCCAGAATGGCTTCCGAGCGTCCTCGTTCCTGATCAAATCCTCTATCGCCAGACCAATCTCCCCTTCTTTCTCCTTAGCGGAGTCCTCTCTGCCTTCCCGATCGGCCCCTCCTCCACTGCTTATATAACCCATGAGTGCCTTCAAGATCGCTATCCCGGCGATTCGATCGCAGACTGCGGTATGGAAACGCAGCGCGACCACAGAATGACCAGGTTCCTGGAGCTCGTAGACGGAAACGAAGAAGGGCCCGACGGACTTACCCTCCTCGAGTTCAGCCCAAGGGTTTCGGCTCATCTCGTGCTCCAGGATCGCATCGATGAAAGAGACCGGCGGCGTACCTCTGTTAGCGGTAATCGGCGATACTTGATCGGAGGGAATGAGCTCGATAACATCGGAAGGAGTGGGGGAGATGAGGATGGGAGGAGGTTTGCTGGAGTTGGAGGCAGCGGCGGAGGGGAGGCGGGCACGGAGTATGGGATGGGAAAGCTGAAGGCGTCGGAGGGACGAGCGGAGTAAGGGGAGAGCAGGAGTGCGGGAGAGCAGGAGGGCGAGGACTGTTACACCAGTGCCGCTGGGGACCGCACGGCACCAGCTCAGCTCCGTTCCGCCGGCCTGACGGCCGGTTGTTGGATCGCCGGCGGTGGATGAACTCTCCATGAGATAACGTGACGGTAAGTTGGCCAAGGGACAGGGATGGAGCGAGCGGACAAAAGGGCGCGTCGGAAACAATAATGAAGGTATCAGGCTATGGATAACTTAAGTACTTCACATTAAATTTTTTAAAAATGTCATTTTAAATTTGTTATTTGCAGGCTCGGAAGCTCTGTGATATGAGCACGCACATGTCAGTCTATTTTTTTGTTCAGAGTTATTTTCAAATTATTTTTGGGTTATTTTTAATAATCCTGAAATAACCCATAAATAATATGCGGTCTTTATTTTTGAGTTATTTCGGTATTTTTGAAAATAAAATATAAATAATATGAAAATAACTCAGAAATAACTTCGGCCGCACGTAGAGCTACGTTAGGAGTCCGCACAGAAAAATTTTTGCCCACAGGTAGGCAAAATTATATATTTGTTAGGTGCGAAAACCAAACTAAAATTATCACATATCAATTATTTATTATTATTATTTTATTATAAATAATTTATAATAAACGTCACAAGTAGTGAAGTGGTCCAATTCGACCCATTATAAGTTATTGGTGCATCATTT